TGACTGTTATATGTATGACCATTATGTGTATGATTATTATATATATGACTGTTATATATATGATTGTTATGTGTATGATTGTTATATGTATGACTGTTATATATATGACTGTTGTATGTATGATTGTTATATGTATGATTGTTGTATGTATGATTGTTATATATATGACTGTTATATGAATGACCATTATATGTATGATTATTATATATATGACTGTTATATATATGATTGTTATGTGTATGATTGTTATATGTATGACTGTTATATGCATGATTGTTATATGTATGATTGTTATATATATGACTGTTATATGTATGACCATTACATTTATGACTGTTATATGTATGGCTGTTATATGGATGATTGTTATATGTATGACTGTTATATGCATGATTGTTATATGTATGATTGTTATATGGATGATTGTTATATGTATGACTGTTATATATATGACTGTTGTATGTATGATTGTTATATGTATGATTGTTGTATGTATGATTGTTATATATATGACTGTTATATGAATGACCATTATATGTATGATTATTATATATATGACTGTTATATATATGATTGTTATGTGTATGATTGTTATATGTATGACTGTTATATATATGACTGTTGTATGTATGATTGTTATATGTATGATTGTTACATGTATGACTGTTATATATATGACTGTTATATGTATGATTGTTATATATATGACTGTTATATGTATGATTGTTATATGTATGATTGTTATATGTATGATTGTTATATATATGACTGTTATATGTATGACCATTATATGTATGATTATTATATATATGACTGTTATATATATGATTGTTATATGTATGACTGTTATATGTATGATTGTTATATGTATGTTTGTTATATGTATGATTGGTATATATATGATTGTTATATATATGACTGTTATATGTATGATTGTTATATGTATGAGTCATTGCCTGGTTAATCAATACATAAAAACGATATTAATTGTGTAGGATTAAACCCAAAGCAGTATCTTTAGAATCATATTATTTTGTTAAATTAAATGACTCTTACTTTGTACAAAGAGCTAAGTTAGAGGAAGATGTTTGATGACGGGGCAGTCTGTGGTTTAACAGGCGACTATGAAGGCGGTGTTGATGTTGATAAGGTGTGAAACAGAGTTAATTATAGAAATCAGATAGATGGAAACGGCTGTTGTGTAGCATTGGCAAATTACAACAAAAATGGCGTTCCCTGTCGATCCTTCCTTTCCGGGCAAATTGAGGATTACTATTCTTCCTCTGGTTTTGGCTATTTTTCATGAGAATTTCCCAGTCCTTGTGACGATTACTGGTTTGTCATAGGTTTCCCAGGGGAAGTTGTTCGCTCACATTATACCAAGATAGTGTCAGCGGCAATTGATATTCTTTTCCTCCTTATTGAATAAGCCCGGTAACATTAGGCACAGCTCTCGTACGTTACTAATAATCTAGTTTGCAATAAATCCCAGTTCGGCTATTGTTCTCGTGTATTAGCGTGTTACACGATGACAATGATCAAATGACATTGATCATTGTCAAATCGCATCGTAAGAACCATACTTTTCATGTCCACGCTTGCCACCGCGATTCGCGACAAGAGGACATTGAGAGACCGCTGACGCACGGCACACAAGCAGCGCAATGTTAAAAAAAATACATCGGAAATTTGTCACAAGATTATCTGTCGATTTGTCAGCAGATAAAATTTGTCAAACTCTTTTCTAAAACGATTTAACAATTTGATTCTTTTTCAATATAAAGTCAAGTTGATTATCCCTAAAAGTGACTTGAACAGGAAATGACGCAATGAAATCCACGTTCGACCAAATTTACCGATAAATGTTTTGTTTTATATTTCATTATTTATGCATGTCAACCTTTCGTCGGATTTTATCCTCTAAATACCAAAAGATCCATCGGACATTTTACAACTTTGTATTTGTTCACACAGGGCGCTAGTCACAATATCTGAGTATGTATATAAAACAACAGTCCTGAATACTTTATATGGTTCGTTTGTGTTTCAAGTTATATTAACACCTATGGTCGTTTAGGAACGTACTAGGTTTTGGTGAAAACCGGAGCATCCAGAGAAACTGCCCCGCGTAGACTTCGAACCCGCGACCCAGTGGTGAAGAACTAGTTATCATAGATGGTCAGATGCCTTATCCACTCGGCAACCTGAATATGTTCTCATTTCATAATTTACCCTAAAGAATGGGTCTGCCTTTGCTATCCCTTTTTATCACATTCGTTACTCAAAACATGCATAGAATATAACAAACGAGACCAAAAACAATGCAAACGCTATACTTATTGTATCTTCCACCGACTTATGATGTTTTTATTCAACATTCATCACATGGCTGTCGTATTCTTCCGTGAATGCATCATGTCATATTTAAGGTATGATCTCAAGCAGTATGATCCATTATAACGTCATCAAATTACAATGAATGACGTTAGACTTGCAGATTATATATTCGCATGATGTCTTTATGCCTTTTGTCTCTAAAGTGATATCTATTTATTCCATTCCAAAAACTAACTCGAAAAAAGCCTAAATTTTGCAACTTCAACAAATATGTTTTCATTCATTTACACAATAGTGTACACCGTGTATCGCAAGCAAAGGTCATGCCGCCACTTCAGGCCTAGGTAAACCGTGTATCGCAAGCAAAGGTCATACCGCCACTTCAGGCCTAGGTACACCGTGTATCACAAGCTAGGACCATACCGCCACTTAACGTCTGGGTACACCGTGTATCTCAAGCAAAAGTCGTACCGCCACTTAATGTCTGGGTACACCGTGTATCACAAGCGAGGATCACACCGCCAGTTAACGCCTGGGTACACCATGTATTACAAGCAAAAGTCGTACCACCACTTAACGTCTGGGTACACCGTGTATCACAAGCTAGGATCATACTGCCAGTTAACGCCTGGGTACACCGTGTATTACAAGCAAAAGTCGTACCACCACTTAACGCCTGGGTACACCGTGTATCACAAGCAAAAGTCGTACCGCCACTTAACGTCTGGGTACACCGTGTATCACAAGCAAAAGTCGTACCACCACTTAATGTCTGGGTACATCGTGTATCACAAGCTAGGATCACACCGCCAGTTAACGCCTGGGTACACCGTGTATTACAAGCAAAAGTCGTACCACCACTTAACGCCTGGGTACACCGTGTATTACAAGCAAAAGTCGTACCGCCACTTAACGTCTGGGTACACCGTGTATCACAAGCAAAAGTCGCACCGCCACTTAACGCCTGGGTACACCGTGTATCACAAGCTAGGATCACACCGCCACTTAACGCTTGGGTACACTGTGTATCACAAGCAAAAGTCGTACTGCCACTTAATGTCAGGGTACACCGTGTATCACAAGCAAAAGTCGTACCGCCACTTAACGTCTGGGTACACCGTGTATCACAAGCTAGGACCAAACCGCCACTTAACATCTAGATACACCGTGTATCACAAGCGAGAGTCATACCACTACTGACGTTTCGATACACCGTGTATCACACGCGAGATACATAATCTTTGTCCGCCCCTATAGTAGTCCAAGCACGTAACAAGTGTGTATGTGTTGGTAATATCAAATCACGTCGTACCTTGTTACTACTTCGTGAATAGCTGAGCTGTAACTCACGAATGAAGAGTTGCATCGATATCTTTATTCCTTTAAATTCATTATTTTAACTACATTTATCACATAATTTACTGTATTATCCAGTGAATATACCCATGTCATATTTGTGTGTGTGTATTTACTCAAGTAATATGACCTTTCTGTCCTGTGATTGGTTGTAAGTTTCAATTGTTTCAATTGTGACGTCACGCCAAGGACGAGAACACAACGTCACAGACTTACGCACTAGAGTCAAAATGGCAGCTTTTTACAAGGTTGCATGAAAATTGTCGTTTTATACGAATAAAAGCCACAAATCTTGATTCTGTGAAAAAAAGGATCTTACACGCGTTTTCATTTCATATTAAATTTATAAAACTCGTCACGAATTTTTCATTTTAGCTTGCCAGAGGCTTGCTAAATTGATAAATTCTTAGACACGTTTGATAAATCTCATATGAAATAGAAACCCATTTAAGATCCTTTATGTATATAATACGGATATTTAAATTGACTGAAAAAACCTTCAATTTCAGCAAACAATATTATGTAAATTCATAATGCAGCCATTATGCCAACCTAATACAAAGTTCGTAATACTTAAATGCAATTCTAATATGTTACCTCTGGCCTATATTAGCGTTCATAACAATTACAAAATATTAATATAGGTATATCCTTAGCTTTCTAATACTAAATATGATTACATTACTCCATATGAATTATGCTTGAGTTTTGATATTATAATACAAATATAATGTTATTTCATTGCATGTCAACCAATCTATTGACAAAGTCTTTGACATCATAACGTTGTACTAGCACTTACATTTTAGCAATACTTTGAGACAGGTAAAATGTTAAAATTGCACTAACACTAGTTTTATAGTATTATCGTACAGTCACATTGTCGATAAGTGCAGTATTTAAATCACAATGTCAAGCATTAACTAACACAATCTTTGTAATTTTGATAAATCAAGGATTTGCTTCCATACACTGTGACAAGCCCACATTTCTTCTGCTCTCACAACGCGTCAGACAGTCTGAGTCTTTCCCTGAGATCGTTGTACATGTTCACTGTGCCAGTTCCTAGAAGAAATTCCCGGCTTTCTTCACTCTACTTGATCCCGTTCAATTACTTTTATAAAGTTAATACCGTTATCATACCGTTGGAGTTTCTATACACAGAGGGAATTAAGGAAATGGCCAAATTGATCAAGTTATAAAGCTGAAGAGAGGGTATAAATAAATAAATCGCATTAGCTACAAAGCAATACTTGATTGAAGTTGATGAAAGTAATACAAATTTGATTAACATCATATTTTCTCAGGTCTGGTTCCAAAATCGGCGAGCAAAGTGCCGCAAACACGAGAGTCAGATGCAGAAAGGTAAGAGGCTCCCCAAAGGGGAATTCTTGTTAAATGTTTTATTCAGATCAAGGTATTAGTGAAATGGTAGTTAAGTGAGCTCAGAGAGTGGCCTTTTACATTTGGTATAGTTCGGTGTTTTTTTGAATAAGTGTTTAGTCTCAATTCATGTTAACTGAAGAAGGTTATTACCTATTTAACACGCAATTATTTTAAGTTCGGATATTTAAAGTCTGTGATAAGCTTATATCTAAAATGCCCAAGCTATGAAACGTTTGAAAGTTAACATAACCATAGTGTGTATACTTTATATCTATACAATGTATATAATAGATTTGATCAAGGAGTTTTTACTATATATTTTATACTTTTTTTTTTAAAACTGTCCCCATGATATATTTGCAATAATTTGACGCTAAATTAATGAGCTGAGTTTCGCTTATGGCAATTGTCAAAGTATTAATTGATTGGTGTAAAGTTCATTGACATCAAATCTTTAAAGCGATACGGATGATCATGCTATCAAAACTTTGGTACAATGTATTAAGGTAAAGGAGCGGTTGGGTTGGTTTAACATTTTAAGTTTAATGAACTTCTTTTTAAATATGTTTTGGAGAGACAATGTACGAAATGGTTTTAATAAATTAAAGAAAAAATACATCCAGGTCAATGATAAGCAAAAATGGTATGCTGATTTGTTTTGAAATATCTATTAAAGTAATCCCGCTTCTGCTATTATTATGAATATAAACGTAATCGTTTGATGTAAGACTTGAACCCTATAGCCATAAGTTAAGGTTGTTTGAGAGTTTTTAACACACTATTTTGTAAATGCTAGTTTGATAATGATTCCACAAAAAACGTGTCTAATCACTCAAAAATATTTACATCAAAATAGTTTAAAACTAACATACACATAGATAAATGTATACCACAGTACACACGGCTTAACCAGTCGTAAAGTAAAAAACCAAAAACACAATTGGAAGTGTAAACTTGTTAAACAAAAGATTAAATTAACGCCTTAATTGTTAATTCGTTCTGGCCTTAAAGTTTTTAAATCAACTTATGCTTTATTGAGTCAAACTCGTATATCTTTATTGTAATAATACATTTCATTATATCCGATTACGTTTTGGGATATTTAGTTTTCACTAATGCTTTTTAATGGTCCGTTATCGAATGTTTGAACTTGTATTAATATAACAGTGAAAAATGTGTACAATTTCTCGATGTGTGGAACCAATTTGCATTTCCAGTGTCTTTGCAAACCAATAAAACAATTTAAATCCGGAATATTAGTGGTTAACGATATCAACACGGGAGTTTAATTTTTTTCCATGCATCATGTTCATTTGAAAAAGACACTGTATGACCTAATCAAGTTTCTATCGTTGCATATTTCAATATATTATAATATGTTCTCATGATATGTTTAATCAAAGACCCCGGTAGCTTTAAAAATGCTTTATTGATCGCTGATAAATTATCTTGTTGAACAACATACATTAAAAATAAACGTAATGACATGCATTTCCTATTTGGTGAATTTCCCTTTCTTTATTAATTGTATATGGTCTCAAAGAGTATTGCCAACATGCCAAGATAACAAATAGTTTAAACTTTGAATAGCAATAACTCATCAATTTAGTATAAGTTTGAGTTTGTTTCACTTGATAAACGGGTAGAACAAACAGTTCTTTATCTCTCTTTTTAATCTCTTTAATTTAATTATCTGAAATCAGGGGTAAATGAAACTTTTAGTTTAATCACTTTCTCTGTCATTAAAGTAATTGTTGTAATAAATCTCCTTTAAAATAAACTTGTATTAACACAAGCGATCGCCCGTTTTGGCCCTCTCCCTATAACAATCGTAACCACACAGATTCAATAGCCTGCTAGAAGCTGTGAAGTAGGCAGTACCGGTTACTTTTCATCTTCTTATTCAGAGTTCATCCAAGTAGATTAGGGCAAACCGGTTTACAATATCCATTATCTTCTGTTATTGTCGCACCTCCATTTAGAACACAAGCTTAATACGCCTCATACGGACCGTTTGCTGGAAGCGTGATTGCTTCAATTGGTCTAATTGACAGAGTGAAGCTGATACAAATGACGGCGATTGCCTCATACGGCGAGAAGACTCTCTTGACATAATGGCAGTGATTAATCAGATTTATTCTGGCAACAACCTTAGCCTCAGATATTACATTAGGCAATAGAAATGTTCAAGCTCAATAATGAGAAGTCAGTGAAAAGCGTTCCAATGAGAGGATCTGGAAGTCTAATTCACTCAGGGGCTTGCACAGGAACCATAATGGCTTCAATGCCACGTGAATCTTTGCAGAGACGGTTTTCTTTGATTGACTATTTATTTGAAATTCATGACTAAATAATACGATTCTGTGAAGCTTAATTTGGGAATAAAAATACATAATGAATTTATGAGTGTTAGATAAAAGTAATCACGGTATCAAATCCATGTTTATCATTCATTGCAAATATATTTCTCATAGGAATGAAATTGTCCTATTCCTTTGTGTTTTACTGAAGCTAATCCAGCCCAGTCATATACATTCTTCTAATTATACAATTTCTCTTATTTATGTTGCGCATACATACATTCTCACCCCCACTGTGTACGTAAGAGTACAATAGCCCTATTGTTCATGTAATTTAGATAATTCATCGGCAGATTATTTCGCGTCCTCTGCTTCAAGAACGGTTTTATCTTATTAAGTTACCAAGCCCCGGCTCCGCAATTAACCTTAACAATCAGGCTTCTCTAACTTAAATTGGCAAATTATTCTTCACAACAGTACACTGACTCGCAGATATAGCTTACGTTAGGATTAGAACATCCGTGAAAAAAAGTTCAGAAAATTAAATTCCATGTTGTATACAAACTTGTGTGATTCAATTTTGTTATCTGTCAGCAAAAAAAAAAAAATGAATCCGGAAGAAAAGTAATTCTTACAATTATATCGCAAAGCGTTTGTGTGTGTGTTTTCAAGAACAAAGCTGAGACGAGTCTGAATTAATTATATAAAAGGATATTCTGTTGGGGTTAAAACAAATTTATTTGCATTTCTACAAATGTAGAGTAATTATAAAGTTGCTTTTGGTTTCTAAATAGCACATTTGATGATAAAATATATATAAACCCCTGTTTTTAATGAAACACCGATGATCGGAATAGAAAATGGAAGATAATTTCTTATTTTTACGTCATATATGACAATGTAAGTCTTGCTTTACAAACTGTTAGGAATAAGAATGGTTGACGGTGTCTTTGATAATTTAACTGATAATTTGCCAATCATTTTCGGGAAACATCATAAAATATCCTTTCGGATCTTTTGGGGTTTTCTGATTTTTCTTTGGGATTTGGTTTGACTGCAGTTCCCGTTTCCTTGAGTTCCGGTTAACACCTGCTACGGTATTACTATGATATATATATATATATATATATATATATATATATATTTGTTGAGCTTTCAATTCACGAATAGTTAAAATTTGTAATACTGTAATTGTTTAGAATATGGTCGTCACAGATTTTAGAGCACGTGCAATAAAAAATAATTAAAATTCTTTGATATTTACGCCACATATAATATAACTTTGGTTGGTAATTTTCATAGTTATTTATTAGATATGAAAACTAAAACTACGAAGCGTATTAAAATAAATTTATAAACGCAATACAACATCAGAATTTGATAATGAAAGGACCAATATACAAATGACATAAGGTTTTACAGACTTGCGTGCCATTGCAACCACAATGTTCAATTTGATACAATGAAAATAACATATTAGTTTGATAATTGTCATATTTGTACTTATTCGGCTATCACGATGGACATTTTAAAAACAGTGTCGTATGTGCATATAACAAATAAATCGTTTACATTATAATATAATACAACATAATTTACGAACATCATGTACGTCAGTTAATAAACTATGATATAAAAATGGAGAAGGATTTATTTTAATTTTGTTAAGGTAAATATCAAAATATTATAAACGCCTTTGCCGACTTATAATTAGAAAATACAAAAACGTTTATGCAATTGTCTTTGTGTATTTGAAAAAACCCCACCATTTTATAGTTTAACTTATTATAAGGAGTTAAATGAAGAATAAACGATCCTCTATAGAAATAAGTGTCAAGGTTAGCAGTAAATGATACCGCTTACTTCCTTTCGTTTCGGTGTCTCCTACATTTGTAAGTGGCTGAGTTATTTCCTGTCGGCTTTGATTAAGGTGTATGTCCTTATGTGTTGAAGCTGCAACATACTATTTCTTTTACTTAAGTAATCAATAGCTTATATGTTTTGTGAATATGAGACATTTTAACAATCTTTATCTTTTTAAAAACTGTTTGGAAAAACAAATATTATACGAAACGGATTATTTCAGCGGTATCAGCCTGTGTGATTTCCTGTCTGTAGAACTGCGGTATGGTGTAGCCACTCGAGGCAACCCATTGTGTACAATAGGCCACAGCGGGCAGCCTCAGCCATTTTACTCTGTAGTGTGCCTCCAAATTAGTTCCTCTTCGCACAATTACAATATCGGATTGTATGATCAAAAGTCAAATTGACTTCATCAAGTATTTTATTGGAAAAGTGGCTGGCAAACATCTCGAGGCGGGCCAAATAGTATTGACAATTTAGCCTAAAACTAGAAATTTGAATAGCGTACTACTGGGGTATTAATGAAAACAAATATTTGGTCACAACTCTAGAGCAGGATGGGTTCCTAACCTACAGATTTCTCTTTTTCAAAAAAACCTGACCTTTTGTGTAGTGTTGATGAGAAGTGTCTCTCCAGCTCGTCTTTTCCGACGCCTCACCAGTTAACATATTCCTACGCTGAACCTAATGAAATAGGGCCGCGCACAAATTAACTAACATAAAGAACGTTAGCGGGAGTGATTAACGTTTTCAGTATCATTAGCACTGTATTTATAGCCGACAGTGGTCTGATTCCGCGATATTTCTTGTCAGAATGTTGCATATTGAATACAAACAATCCCTGGTAGCACCAATTATGATCGGCGACGGTTTGTCAGAGAATGATGAATTACAAATCATTGCCGGAATATGATAAAGTGTAATTGGTGACCCGCCATTGTTAAAACTCTCTAACGTCTGAAGACACATTTACATTGGAGATCGAAACATGTAGCCAATTTGTATATCTTATGATTTGTAAACATGTAAAAGGTTGATGAATGATGGCGTTATTCTATGGCCATCATGAATGTATAATTCATTTGTACGCTAGTCGAGACTTTCCTGCCAACAATGGTCCCGTCTACTTGACTGGTCAGAGATCCTAGCAATAGTACCCCAAACTGATGCTTGAAAAACTCGCTTGTGTATTTAAAACCTCATATTTTACCAATTCCTTAAATATATAATACATTTATATATGCAATGTATATATACACAACAGTTATACTTTATACCAAACCTTCCGGGTCAACAGACAATTTTATAACTTTTCTACAAAAATGTACATGTTTTATATGTAAACATTAAAAACTTAATTGATGTCAAACTTATAAACAGATGTGCATTATATTCGTCTTAATGTCGTTAATGCTAATTCATCTAGATAGTATGTAACGAATACTGGTTAAGCAAATACGCGTATATAGCTGACAGAAATATTTCTCATAGGATTTTCATGTATTAACAACATTACACACACTTGAATTGATTCACAAGAGGATATCGTAGGATTTCTAAGTCTGTATGTTCCAAAATATTCTTTATAAATGACATTCTTAATTTCAAGCAAATAGTTAATAGCTACAGACTACATGACAACGGAAGGGGAACGTTACAATTCCAGAAATGTTGAAACAAAAATTTATGATATTTATTGATAATTTTCTTTATAAATGTTCCCATAAATTTATGCAAAAAATTGTGTAAATAATTACTCTGGTATGTTAATATCCATCGTATTCCTATCTTTATTGGTCATTTTCAATAAAGTAAATTTAATTAAATTTATATTTTAGCTGGAATCATGATGCAGTCACAAGGAACTCCCCTGGACGCATGTAGGATGGCCCCGTTTGTCAATATGACCCAGGTTCCAAGGGAGCCCGTGGATCGCCTCCATTTTGCACCATTTCTACCTTACTACCAACTTCATGCTGCATCAGCAGCTGCGGCGTCGGCGACTCCACACCAGCCTATCCACCCATTACTGTTGTACCACCACCACTACGCCGCCGCTTTAAACTATGCTACGCTGCACGACAGTAGCTTTAAATCGTCTAAAAACTCGAGCATCGCCGACCTCCGGCTTAAGGCGAGGCAACATTTGGCCTCGCTTGGTATATGAGTGAATGAAACTAAAAACGATGTTTCGTGATCTATAGTCATCACTTAGAGACACGGCATTCTGATTGGATGCAGACGGTTTAACGTAGAACGATCTTGTTAGACAAACAAGGACAGAATATCATGCCATCTTTAAATTGGCACCGGGAATTATATGCTCTCTAAGTCACTTAGATGGGTAGTATACTCAACAAACAAGCATTTACCTCATATGAAATGTATGGGACCTGTATACTGTTGTCAGGAATATATAGTCTGTTTTTAATTGTGATGAATGTATCAAAATTAACACTAGAAATGGAGTGCATTTTTAACAGCTTCACCACAGCATATCAGTGCAGTTAATCAAAACAGGTCAGCGAGGTAAATCATGACACTTCTGAGTAGTTAACTGCGGTATTTGATAGGATCAAGATGAAAGTGTATTGGAACGTGTACATAATCACAAGTTACTATTATGTGGCGGTGAAACTAGTCACGCCATGTCACGAAATATCAGTACAGTTAACTCTAATGTATAAGTGAATCACGAAATGTCAATCAAGTTGATCTCGACATGTCAGTTAAGTTCATCACGACCTGTCAGTTCAGTTATCCAACAAATGTCAGTCAAGTTGATCACGACATGTCAGTTAAGGTCATCACGACATGTTAGTTCGGTTAACCATCAAATGTGAGTCAAGTTCATCACGACATTTCAGTTCAGTTATCCACCAAATGTCAGTCAAGTTTATCACGATATGGCAGTTAAGATCATCACGACATGTTAGTTCGGTTAACCATCAAATGCCAGTCAAGTTTATAACGATATGGCAGTTAAGGTCATCACCATATGTCAGTTTCAATTAATTGCGAAATGTCAGTCTGATTAACTATGATGTGTGAGTTAAGTTCATCACGACGTTTCGGTTTAATTAACCACTACATGTCAAGCTGGTTAATGACGAAATTTAAGTATAATTATATGTAACTATGACATGTTGAAGTAGTTAAACCAGTCAGATCAGTTTATCACGATATGTTGTAGTTACCCATAACATGCCGGTGTAGTTCATCACGACGTTAAAGTATAGCTAATCAATGTATTTGTATCAGTGTTTATTTGAATCAACACTGTATATTCTTACAACATTCACTTGATCTTAACAAATCCAGTGTTCAGTTCAATGTCATTACTGTGTTAAAAGTCGTTTTGACATCAACACCTCTGAGTGACTTTTGAATTATAGTGCAGTTTGCCAGAATATCTTAAGTTATTGACATTGCATCAACAATAACTGTGTAAGTATGACACATATATATATATATAAATTTATATGTATATTACATAAATGTTGGTGATTGTTTAATTTTTGCGTGCATTTAAAGTTCATTCTGTCTACGATTTCTTGTATATTCAAGAAAATTGATTTATTTAAACCATGCAAATTGAAAATTAACTTAGTATTTTATCACTTTGATCAAGCTAGCTTGAACGGTGAATCACAAATGTAACAATTATGTGATATCTAATTATATAAGTATATCTCCCTTACATTGTAAACATGATAGTTGAATGATTGTGTACTGTGAAAAAAAGAAAAAAATATCCTCGTGCAGATTATTTATTTATAGAATATACAAATTATAGATATATAGAATATATAGAGATATCAGAAATATTGCTAAAGCAAAAAATTACACACAGCAATCAATTTACAAGGTCACAAAGCGAACATTTCCACACGCGAAAAGTTCCTCCTTTGCAAGATTATTTTAGAGATGATCGTTGATTTGATACCTTTCCAATGTAATAACATTTATTGATCTTTTGTCACATTTTATGGTTTTTGTAATACCGAATCGTTATAAATATGATAGAGTTGAAATTAGGAGTAAAATGCCAAAGCAAAGAAGCTCAAATAATAAGCAAATACAACATACGTTATTAAGGTACAAATATGGCATGTTCAAAGGAACATGCATTGTAAGTTTGAATTCACTCTGGTATTTTTCATTCTTGTTGAACTCCTGGAATGATCTTACGCGGGAGATGTATGTCTCGTATCTAAAATACGTTAGTTAATTTGTTCTCATTATCCCTCTGTGAACCAAGGACATCTTTTTATAGCGACCCGTTTGTTGCACATCCTAACTCGATGGATTAGAGCGGTCCCTGGTGTCCTGGCGGACGACATGGGGATATCACAATATCGTTAAGTTAGACAATAGACATTTATCTTTATAATCAACAATTAACTGCATGGGTATTTTGTTATCAGAATTTATATTGTACCCTCCCCGTTCATACATGTTTGAAATAGAAATATTATCTCGGTGGGTTTTTTTACAGTTAAGAAGGTTTTGAATAAAAACAATCAATTTTTATAAAATTTATGTAATGAAACCCATTCGTCATACAAACATTGGACATGTTTTTACCGATCATAAAAAAAAGGTATTTTCATGAATCAATATGGAGTACATCTGATAAATAGAGAACTTAAGTGGAGTTAGCTATGTGCTATTTATTATTACAGCGTGCTTGATAAGACAATTAATGTGTTAATACTATGTTAATTTACATTATATTTAACTTAATTATAACTATATCATGTATAACTTTGTATTACCCTGTTATTACGTGTAAATAATACCGTACCAATGTATATTGATATGTTACGATTTTAACTAATTTGTAAATAAAGGAAACCATACATTTCACTGGAGTATTTTGTGATAATTTCAAATTCACAGAAGCATTTGGTGATACCATAAAATACACAGAAACATTTTATGAAACCATACGATGCATCTGACTATTTTGTGCTACCATATAACACATTGGAATATTTTTTGATACCAAACAATACATAAGAAAATACCATACCATACAATACACAGTAATATTTTTTGATACAATACACGTGAACATTTGGTGATACCATACAAAACCTGGGAACATAAGGTGACACCATACTAAACATTGGAACATAAGTTGATACCATACAATAATTGAAACATAAGGTGATACAATACTAAACCTTGGAACATAAGTTGATACCATACAATAATTGAAACATAAGGTGACACCATACTAAACCTTGGAACATAAGTTGATACCATACAATAATTGAAACATACAATAATTGGAACATAAGGTGATACCATACAATAATTGGAACATAAGGTGATACCATACAATACCTTGGAATATAAGGTGATACCATACAATAATTGGAACATAAGGTGATAACATACAATAATTGGATCATAAGGTGATACCATACAATAATTGGAACATAAGGTGATACAATACTAAACCTTGGAACATAAGTTGATACCATACAATAATTGAAACATAAGGTGACACCATACTAAACCTTGGAACATAAGTTGATACCATACAATAATTGAAACATACAATAATTGGAACATAAGGTGATACCATACAATAATTGGAACATAAGGTGATACCATACAATACCTTGGAATATAAGGTGATACCATACAATAATTGGAACATAAGGTGATAACATACAATAATTGGATCATAAGGTGATACCATACAATAATTGGAACATAAGGTGATACAATACTAAACCTTGGAACATAAGTTGATACCATACAATAATTGAAACATAAGGTGACACCATACTAAACCTTGGAACATAAGTTGATACCATACAATAATTGAAACATACAATAATTGGAACATAAGGTGATACCATACAATAATTGGAACATAAGGTGATACCATACAATACCTTGGAATATAAGGTGATACCATACAATAATTGGAACATAAGGTGATAACATACAATAATTGGAACATAAGGTGATACCATACAATAATTGGAACATAAGGTGATACCATACAATACATTTGAACATAAGGTGACACCATACATTACATTGAAACATAAGGTGACACCATACAATACATTGAAACATAAGGTGATACCATACAATAAAATCGACTGGTTCGCCCGTTGTCAGTATAATGTGACCGGGTGGGGCGTCCTGCTGGGTGTCTTCGGCAGTATGTCTCAGTGAGGTAGCACTATAAAGTCGGCATCAGTTCCGCGCTATCACAAGGAGACAGACACGAACATATCGCAGCCTCTCAAAATACACACACATACACCACACGCATGCATCTTGCACACAGGGGAGGCCGTCCTTAAATCACCTTAGCTGTTAATAGGACGTTAAACCAAATCAAACAAACAAACAAACCATACAATAATTGGAACATACGGTGACACCATACAATACGTTGAAACATAAGGTGACACCATACAATACATTGAAACATAAGGTGATGCCATACAATAATTTGAACATTTTGTGATACCATACAATAATTGGAACATAAGGTGATACCACACAATAATTGGAACATAAGGTGATACCATACAATACATTGGAACATAAGGTGATAACATACGATAATTGGAACAAGGTGATACCATACCATAATTGGAACATAAGGTGATACCACACAATAATTGGTACATAAGGTGATACCATACAATAATTGGAACATAAGGTGATAACATACGATAATTGGAACATAAGGTGATACCATACGATAATTGGATCACAAGGTGATAACATACGATAATTGGAACATAAGGTGATACCATACGATAATTGGATCACAAGGTGATAACATACGATAATTGGAACATAAGGTGATACCATACAATACATTGGAACATTTTGTGATATAATACAATATATTTAAACATTCTGTGTTATAAAACAATACATTAAAACATTCTATGGAATAATACAATACATTGGAACATTCTGTGGTATAATACAATACATTGGAACATTCGGTGGTATAATACAATACATTGGAACATAACTTAATACCGTACAATAATTGGAACATAAGGTGATATCATACAATTATTGGAACATAAGGTGATACCATACAATAATTGGAACATAAGGTGATGCCATACAATAATTGGAACATAAGGTGTGACCATACAATAATTGGAACAAGGT